GATATTTTCATGAATAAGCACTTTATTAATGATTTTGTCGCCGTCTTCCTGCAGAGCTGTCACATTGGTGAGGAGGACGAAGGGGGAGAGCAGGAGGGGGAGGAGCCATCCTTTGAGGTGCGGCAGACAGAGATGGTATGGGGGGACCAGGGGAGGGGAGGCAGGGGAGTCAGCGGAGAAGCCGCTCCCCGCGCGCCGAGTGACCTCACCGTGACATCACACTCAGCACACCCCCCACCACCCAACTCCTACCACAGCATACCTCGTTTCTTTGTCTCTTTACTCTTCATTTTCGTTCACTCATGCCACTCGTCTATCTCCTGCAGTGGTGGATTGACCTGTGCATGCCTTTGCTGGACCGCCGGCAGCATCGGTGTTGTTGGTTCAAAACGTTCCTAAATTGCATGACTTGAGTGCAGAGAGATGGTGCAGCTAAAGACAACAACAACGTGAAGCCCAGAGCAAAACAAACCTTTGAGTCGTTACCAAATCACAGTTTCTGAGCCTGAATTTGAAGAAAACCACATTAAAGGCAAATATCATCCGTGTACAACTTATACGACAGTAATGTTAATTTTCACTATAAAAATCCTGAATCAGGCATCAGTGCATTACTGAACGGCCACCGAAGTCACATCTGAATTCAGAATGACAGTAACCTACAGATGGATAATAAATAGTACCTATTTATTATTTATCATTAATACCAGTTTATTATCCGTTAAATACGGGTAAAATGGATACCATATGCTAAAAAAATTACATGCTTACAATGTGGTCTGGAATGTTTAGTTTAACAACTGTAGATAAAATATAAAGATGAACAGATTTGGCAGGAAACCAGTAGATTTAGTCTCATCATCACCCTTAATTAATGCATAATTAACAGTCATTAATGATTCATAAAGTCTTTAGAGTTGAATTAGAAGCATGTCTATGAACTATTAGCCATCTAGAAGGAGAGCCTTATTGTAGTGTATTGTAAAGTAGAATGAAGACCTGTTAAACCAGCACCCTGTGAAAAGGTTTAAGAATGCCTGCATTAAGAAAACTCGTTCACCACAGCAGGAAAATAGATGTTTGTGACAAAAACTGTAATTAAAAACTCTGAATTTAGCTTCTGCTCAATTTCAGACCAACGTTGTTACTTTGTAACTCCCAAACGTTTGCAGTAAGATTCCCATTAACAGAGTTACTTTTGGTCCTAAAAACTCAATTTAATTCCTCAAATCTGGTGGAAAAATAGTTAAAATACTCTAATACAATCAGAATACAGCTTTATTCAAACCTTCTCTCCTTCACTTAGGTCAGACACAGAATAAAAATGAGTTAATGCTAAAGCTAATCGGCTAAGCTAAGTGAAAGCAGTATCAATTTAACCCAGAATTAGCAGAAGTTTTTGCAGTAAGAAGACGTTCATAATTGTTAAATGAAACATTTTTTTGATGAGACTATGGTCAATGGTTAGCATACCTCTAATGCGCTAAGAGCTTATGTTCTACTTAGCGTTTAGCACTTCCGCTAGCAAACTTTGATCCACTAAACTGAATTTTTCAAAATAAATTTCAAGTTATTACTAATTTAATTTACTTTGAGTTGAATAAAGTTTGACGTTGGTGTTGAAGTTGTGAAGAATGTTTCAGACATTTATAGCTATGCTCTTATTTTGAAGTCTTTCTAAACAGCAGTTCAGTTTCTTCTCCTCAAGGTTGTATTTTTTTAAAGAAATTTTAAAAGGTGGTTTTAAAATTACTTCTTGGCTTTTAAAATTAATGGAAAGGCCTTTGAGATTTATTTTTTCATACTTTCAACATATTTATATTTTTTATTTGACCCTGAAATCTGATATTTGCCTTTTAATGATGTTTTGAGTCTGATTTCAGTTTTGGACGCTGTGATCGTGTGGTTCTACTGATACAAGCTTTTCTAGAAGGGCAGCATTACGCAAATTTGGACTGAAAAAAAAAAATTTTGTTTTGTAAGGGCTTGTGTCTGAATAGTTTTTTTTTCTGGCAGAAAATGTGTTTTTTGTGGAAAAGCATTTTCCACGAAAATGTATATACTATATACACCCATGTATATAGTAAAACCAAGTATTAGGGCCAGGCTAAGAAAAGAAACAATAAAATACAAGAATAAAGTAATATTACCAGAATAAAGTAATAATATTATGAGAGTGAAGTCGTATTAATTTGTGAAAAAAGTTATAATAATACAAGAAGTCAGAATGTTATGAGAAAAAAGTCAATGATACGAGAAAAGAGTCGTAATAATATTACTAAATTTGGAATAAGAAAAAGTCTTGCAACAAAAATTCATATTATGAGAATAAAATCATAATAATACAAGTAAAATGCTATGAAGGTACAAGAATAAAGTTATAATATTACAGAATAAAGTTGTAGTAATGCATGATGAAAGTAATAATGAATAAAGAATAAAGTCACACTAGAATAAAGTCATAAAATTATTAGAATAACATCTTGGTTATATGTGAAGAAAGTCGAAGTGTATGACAAAAATTCAATAGATTAAAGTCGTAATATTAGTAGAATGAAGGAGTAATTTTATAACTCCATAAAAATTTACTTTTAAAAATTTAAAGGAGGAATGTTGAGCATTTCATGAACTTTGGTATTAGTTTTATAGGACATAATATTTAACACATCAACACCAAATTATTATCAGTAGCAGATATTAATATTATATATATAATACTAATATTATTTACATTTTGTCCTTATTCTGCTAACATCATGACTTTAATGTTGTAAATTTTATTCTAAAAGTCTCTTTGTCTGGCCCTAATATTCTGTCGTAACATAAAGATCCGTAAGTGAAGTGACGTCCGTAGATTTCTTTAGAGAAGCACGCTCACCTCCAAATTGCACATGTAAGCTGCTTGCTGGGAGACCAAAAGTTAAAAGTTGTGGAGATTTTAGGGGAGTTTCAGAAGAAACTGGATCTTTGAAATAATAATAATAACAAAAAAAGCTAAGTAGACACAACTTTACTGTTTCCATCTGAAGCTGATGGGAAAATGTAATGCTGTCCTTCGTAACCCGGTTGAGTGAAAACATATCAGTTACTAACAGAAACAAGCAGTTTTATTATGATTGTGTTGACTTTGTGCATTTGGCAAGTCACTTCCTGACTTGAACCTCCTTTTCCTGGCTAACACGTCTTAGGCTACGTTCAACATGAAGTAACACAAATCCGATTTTTTTTTTTTTTTTGCCTGAATCTGATCTTTTCATGACGGCCTGAACAACACAGATCTGATTTTCTGATTGGATATGTGGTTCTAAATCTGATACATATCTGATCTTTTTAAATGTGACCTGAATCTGAACGGCCAGGTCGCCTTCTTCCAACCTGAACATCATTGATGCTCGACAAGCACTTTTACTCCCTACATTTTAAGAGACATATTTGTACTTTCTTCTCCTTATATTTTCACATGTGCCTTGTTCCATGATGAAAAAGATAATGGGAAAAAATCCACTCATCGCATAAAAAGAGTTATAGTGTTGGTAATTCACCGTTCAGCTGGATGCAGCCAAAGCAGAAGAAGAAGAAGACATTATGAGAAAAACAACTTGGATGTAGATATTTGCCATCTGCAGCCTTAGTTTAAAAATATTTTCATGATTCTGGCTCAAAGAATGAATAATGTCGAATGTGCTGCATTTTGTTTAATCTAAATTGGTTTTAATTTAATTAAACAATAACATATTTTGTATGACTAGAACTTTTCAGTATTTTGGGTTTATTGGAAGTCATTTTGTATTCTTCAAGGTGAAAATTGGTTTTTGTACTAAAGTATATTTCAAAACTTGCACTTGAGTAAAACAGTTCAACCTGTACTTTTACTAGAGTATTTTTATACAAGTATCTGTACTTCTGCTTAAGTATATTTACAGCTCTGGTAAAATCTTAGCTCCCAGTGAACTGAAGCCCATTGAAAACCTGCTGGTTCTTCCACCAAACACTGATTCCTGAGTTAAAACATTAGTATTGTTGTTTCTAAATGAATATAAACTTGTTTTCTTTGCATTATCTGAGGGCTGCACTGCATCTTTTTTGTCATTTTGATCATTCCTCATTTTCTGCAAATAAATACTAAATTTTTGCTTTGAATTTCAGAGACACGTTGTCAGTAGTTCATTGAATAAGAGAACAAAGTTCATATATATTTATAAAAAGTAAAATCAGAGAAACTTATCATTGTAATTGGTCTCTTAATTATTTTCCAGAGCTGTATTTGGAAATGTGAACGACAACGCAAAAAAAAAAAAAAAAAGGATTTCACAAAAAATCGTATTTGATGGTTAAATCCTGCAGTGTGAACGTAGCCTAACTCTCACCTTCTAATCCAGGTGTTTTCAGCCCGTAACGCCCTGAAGCTCCACTTTGAGTCCTAACCACTGATGACTAACACAGACTTGTCTTTAGTTTGAACTGGACAGGTGACAGGTCTCCCTCTCTGTGCACACCAAGGGCTACAGTAAAAGCCTGCACAGTCCAAGCCCAAGCTCACACTTCAAACCACATCCAGACATGCACTTCAACCTTTCACAATAAAAGACAAAATAAGGAAACAGGAGCTCTGTAACCAGAGGAAATCCATAGCGTTTTCATTCATGTCAGACTTTTGAGGGCGGGGTGGCGGGATAGAGGGATGGGGTAGATGTAGTTCTGTGTGCTTTGGGAGGGGTTTCATATGCATGGTATGCAGAGGGTGAGGCTGGCTAACCTCTTTTGTCAACAGGATGGTTCCTGGACCAGAGAGGCAGATTACAGTTTAATGCCCGATTCCATCACTGCAGAAACACAAAGTCCACAAAGTATTTTTGTCTATGTTCTTGTTCAAATATCTTAGTTCACTTGAAATAAGACAAGCCCAAATTACAGGTAACTTTCCAGCGACATATAGGAGCTTGATTCAAAGGGGGGATGTATTATGTAAAATTCAGATTTTGCACATTTTTGTGCTTCGATTTAAGTCTGTACTGCTCCTAAAATAAACACCATCCAGACGTTTTTTTTGGCTATAAGTTAATATTTTTTGCTGTCTTGAAAATTCGCCGTTTCAAGAACATCCAGAATGCAATGTAACAAATCAGCGGGCACTGCCCGTTAGCTAGCAACCCCATCAGAGTTCCGCCCGTTACCTAGCAACCCCAGCAGACTTCCACCTCTTACATTGCAACCCCAGCAGAGTTCCGCCCGTTAGCTAGCAACCCCAGCAGAGTTCCGCCCGTTACCTAGCAACCCCAGCAGACTTCCACCTCTTACATTGCAAC